TTGTTCCTGGCAAGAGCATTGTGGAAAATATCATAAACTGCATTGAGAAGAGTTACAAGTCTATCTTTGTTTTGTCTCCCAACTTTGTCCAGAGTGAGTGGTGCCATTACGAACTCTACTTTGCCCACCACAACCTGTTTCATGAAGGATCTGATAACTTAATCCTGATCTTGCTGGAACCCATTCCACAGAACAGCATTCCTAGCAAGTATCACAAGCTGAGGGCTCTCATGACACAGAGGACTTACTTGGAATGGCCCAAAGAGAAGAGCAAACATGGACTTTTTTGGGCTAACGTTAGAGCTGCTTTTAATATGAAATTAATACTAGCCACTGAAAACAATGATATGTAAACTTAAAAAAAAGTCAGGAAATCCAACTTAAGAAACCATCATTAACTTGGATTCTGATGAACTCCATGGTTATAAATTACCATCTGGAGGTGCCTCTGTTATCCCCATGCCTTCAGGAAAGACTTAATGAAAACTCATTAAGGAAACTCAGTGTTAAACTGAGCTGGGGAATTAAGCTGGGGGTGAAGTGGTGCCCAACTTGCGGATTAGAGACAACTCAGTCTGTGGTTTAACTATTCTTTTTCAGATTGAAACAGTCTCTTTTGAGTAAATACCCAGTCATTCAAGATCTTTCCTCTACCCTCTCCTTTTCCCAATGGATTCTGTGTGAGCGGGAGTTTATTCTGTGTGAGCTGGCTTCAAGGCAGCAAGAAAACAGTCAACCTCAGAATTGTATGTGCTGGTCCTTGTTGTGTCCTATGGATACTCATTGGTCTTGGGGTGAGCTTTATCATCCTGTTCCATCCTGGGGCTTGAGAAAAAATTAGACCAGTTATGGAACATAAAAAAAGTATTTTTTTTGTATCTGTGTAATAGTGTACTTAATTTTTGACCCTGCTACACAAATATGTAATTAACCAGTGGGGATTCATGGCATAATAATGTTTGTTTATAAAAGGGAAATATGGCCTTAGTCATAGGCTGTTGAGGTGAAAGACATGGATTAACCTTCTTGCCAAGGAAACTGAGAGCCAAGTTTATTTGTAGCTGGATATTGAATGGAAATTTCTGGTTGTTTTAGAATTTTGGCTAAAGCCCTAAAGCTGAGAAAAAGCAGTAAATGCTCCCACATTTTAAACAGAGATACTAGAAACAGCCAGGGTAGACTTACTAATCAGAGAGTGATTATTGGAGGTTCTAGTCCATGGGGAGATTGCTGTGAATTTCCTCCAAAGCCAAGCAAGAGGGGCTCTACACATCGTAGAAAAGTAGTCTGACATCCCACTTTCAGACTGAAAGCATGCAGAGTAACAGGATGCACAGGTTCAGTGCAACAAATGAGGTGTGGTGGGAGAGCTCTTGGGAGAGCTCTTGGAAGAACTTGATGAGTATTCCCTGGAATTTGGGAGTGGGGGTAGGCATCACAAACACAGAGACTGGGAAATAGTGCTTGGCAAATATAGGTGCTTAATAAATATTTCTTGAATGAACAGATCAGTGATTTTCACCTGGAGAATTCAGAAGGTGAGTGGTTAGCTTGGACAGTTCCTAGATGGCACGATGAGAGAAGGCAAGCAGAGACTGCAACCTGCCCTTCTGTTATCGGCATGGCAAAGATGTGAATTTCCTGCAGACCATGTTGACCATGGAATGGTAGCTGAGCTTGAGTTGTTATGATGCTATGTCAACCAACAGGGCAGCCTGTTGTGCAAGGAAACTACAGCAGTAAGAGGCCATGGAGTTGGGCAGAAGAGATGTATTGCAGGGGGTGGGTGGGAGAAGATTACTGCAAGAGGTCAGCCAGATAATGTCCCCTTGCATCAAGGAACTGTGCAATGTAGGGTCCATTCACGGTCTCCCAAGAACCCACAGATGTGCCCCACGAAAGAGGCAACATTTAGACTCTGCCATAATAGGAGGCAGGGGCATGATGGCCTATCTGCCTTATCTAATAGTTAACTGCTGGGAGATTTCTTCCTTTTTGTGTAATGCTGTCATGCTCGGGCTACACAACTATGCTAGTTGTAAAGCTAGGCTAATGTCAGAATCCTGCCGACGTCGCCAATTGTGGCGCTCTTTTACCTGCCTGCAATCCTTCCGACTGGGCCGATTGTCTAGCTAGGGCTAGGTCTGGAGCTCACAAACCCCTCAAACCCATTGTCCAGACTGGGACACAAACCCTTCACATGCCAGGCTGGGTCACCAGACCCTTCACATGCAGGTCTATCATCTAGGTAACTGACAAACAGGTCCTTGGAAGCTGTAGGTTGGAAAGCATGGCTGTGTGGAGCAGTGTCTGCCCAAGGCAGACTCCAGCCAAACCGTGGCACTGTGCCTATACACCAACTTTGCCCCCCCTGCCACAATTTGTTTACTGAACCACCCCCAACTGGCCCTGAGGTGAGAGACCTGATTAAACTATTCTATTTTCCCAACAATCCACCCTTTCGGGCTCTCTCACCATACAATCTATGTGTTCAGAACCTTCCATGATGTTCCCTCAGCAAGGATAAATGAGCCTTACATTCACATATTACACATTCCATCCCAGACCTAAAAGTCTTCAGCTTGTTGCAGCACCAACTCAAAAATCCAAAGTCCAAAGTCTCATCTGAAACAAAAAGGCAAAACTCCTTTCAGCCATGAACCTGTAAAGAGAGTCAAAAACAAGTTTATCTACTTCCAAGATACAGTGGGACTGACACTGGGTATACATTCCAATTCCAGAAGGGAGGAAAAGAAAGAAAAACAGTCCCCAAACAAATCCGAAACCCAAACAGGGCAAACATTAAACACACTGGGGTACCTGGATCCCCAAGGTGCTGGGAAATCTCGCTCTTATAGCTCCACCAGGTGCAGCCCATTGAACTACTCTGGTCCCTGTGGCTTTTCCACTAGCAGCCCCATGGTTCTGGGCTTCTGGTGACAGTCCTGCCATCCTGACTCCACTAGACATTTCCTCAGTGGCGGTTCTCTGTGGGGGCTCCAACCCCACCTTTCCTGCTCCACATTGCTCCGTAGATGACCTCTGCAGATGACCTCCACAGTGGCTCCACCCCTGCGGCAGGTCTCCGCCTGAGTCCCCTGTCTTTTTCATACATCTTCCAAAATCTACGTGGAGGCTGCCACGCCTCCTCTGCTCTCACATACTGCTGGCCTGCAAACTTAACACAATGTGAATGCCACCAAGGTTTTTGATTTTTGCTCTTTGGAGGTGTTGAGGCAGGATTGCTCCAGCCGGAGCTGCTGGGATGCAGGGAGCAGTTTGCCAAGGGCAGCAGTGCCTCAGGTCTGTCCTCTGGGACAACTCAGTCCTTCTAGGCCTCTGTGATGGGAAGGGCACTCTCCCAAACTTTTGAAATGCCCTCAGGGCCTGTGATGGGTGGGGCACCCATCCAGACTTCTCAAATACCTTTAGGGTATTTTCCCCATTGTCCTGGCTTTTAGCATCTGGCTGCCTGCCTCACCGCCAAGATAATATCTTTACTGAACAGTTTATCTGCTTCACCCTTGCATTTTTCTCCCACTCTTCACATTTCTATCATGGCCAAGCTGCAAATTTTCAAAATCTTTGTGCTCTGCTTCCCTTTTACATTCTAGCTTTTGAATTACTTCAATCTGCTTGGCTTACACCAGCTACTCACTCAGTCTCAGGCAGTTCAGCAGCGTTTGCCCACACAGTCCAAACAGCTGCATTTGCCCAGTCCATTAAGGAGTGGCTGCCCTGCCCCTGTGCGTATCTGTGGCTCTCCTGTAACTGCTGCTGCTGGGACAGGTGCATAGTAATGGAGACTAACTTTTCCAAATTTTCACCAGGTGAAAACATACTTGAAATTCTGCAGTGACACCCATCTTTGGGTCATCTGCCCACCTGCATGTGGCACTCCTTTCTCAGGTTTATACAGCACCCATCCAGCCATTGGGTTTAAGTGGCACTCTCCGAGCCTTTTGCCTTCAGACAAACACAACATGCATTTACTATATCGTCTCTAGAGCATGTTACACTATCCACCCTTAGATCTCATAGTTGCAGCAGCTGGGGGCTCTCCCTGTTTCTGCTGCTTTACTGTCTCAATTTCTTGTGCACAACAGGTCATGCCTGGTGATGCACGATCTTCCCCAACACATCCTCCCCAGTGTGAGAAGCAGGAGTGGCTAGTCACTACACATCATCCTCCAGGACATTTATCTGTGCTTCCAGAAACCCTGTTTTCTGCCATAAATCTCAATCAGTTTGCAGTGTAGATGTTGGGTCTTTAAAAAACTAACACCACCTTAAAGTGACATTACAAGTGGATTAATGTGGCCGGCGGGAGGAAGCAGGGTGGGAGTGTCTGCGGGAACCTTGCCTTAGCCCTTATTGGCCGCACTTGTGAACACTGTGTAATTGCAATAGCTAGGTATTGAGACAGGATGCATGCCCTTAACCCTTAAGCTGATTGGAGGATGTAAAAAACCTGCCTTTGCCATTTACCTTTAAAAGCCAATGCTTGTGTGTTAATAAAAGGAACTGCTTGAAAGAACCCCCACCGCGTCTGAGTGTCCTTTAACTGGGCTGGTTTGGGGCCGGTGGTGTGCTCACCTCTTCACGGCTCTCTTCCCCTGTCTCCTTCAAAAGGGGACCGGAGGGAAAGAGGAATCCCGGGCCATTCGCTCGCCCACTGAAAGGAACGAGGCTAGGGCTGTACGGGTCGGTTGCTGGTGGCGGACCCGACAGAGTGGTGCCCCACGCCCCGTCGTAGTTGCCTTTCTATGACTGTATTTGACAGAACTTTTCAAAAGCATGTAAAAATATGGATATAAAAAGGCAAAACTGCTATTTTTCATAAAATAAGCTAGGTTCATACATTAAGTACTATGCAGGTTTTACAGCCAATCATGTAATCCTTTAATAATTATAGAACATATCTTCCTCAAATATTGTTGATGAAAAAACAAGCAAACTGTAATTTATTCACGTGTGTTTCCATGTACATAAATGTATTATTTATGTATGTGTATAGTGATATTTATATTTGTTAAATTATGCACTTCACTACCAATCATGATTGCTCCTGTGAAAGATTATGAATCT